CTTTCCCCCTAGGTCGGCAGCAGGATAGCGGACAGGGTGTTTGACATCACCAGGTAAGCCTTGCCGCGGGTGGAACAGGGCTCCGCTCCGTATCCCACACGCTCCCCTGCAGCTGCAGGGTGACGGTCAGGGGAACCAGAAACGCTGGTTTGTGAGCGCCTTTCTCTTGGCTGTCTTGTGGTGGTAAAACCATAGAAGGATGCTCGATGCCCATAATTGGAAAAGAAGTTTGGAAATTGGCAGACAAAACTTAATATGGACTAAGACTTCGAATGGCTTAAGCCTTGATTACGTTTTGTGTTGCTAAACTTTATTCTTTAGAGCGTTTCCCCTTGCTTTGGATGTCGGCTCTGGAAGAGGTTACATAGCTCAACATTTAACCAAGGTACTGTCTCTTCATGTGAAAATGTTTAAAATAAGTATCTCTCTGTTTTCAGATAGAGCTCTATTATAACTTAAAACAAATCTCTGAATCCTGATGAGGTAAATCTCCCCCCGCCCCCCATTTCTGTAGCTATAGCCCAAAGATGGGTGTTGTGCAGGCTGTTACTCTTTGTTGATTGTCACCGCAGACTAGGCAGTAGTGCGAGGGAAGATCTCTGTGGTGTGAGAGTTAACCTTCAGTCTTGAGTAGGAAAGTGCATGTTTCTCGATCAGGCTTTGTTGGACGCAGTTAGTTGTTAGAAGTGTCATTATGGAGACTTTTAAGCAGCGAACAGTTTACCGTTCATGAACTGCACTGTAAGGAAAGGTGCTTCATTGGCTGTTAGAAGCAGTAACAGATTAACATGGATTATCTCGGCTGTTCTCCCTGTGAGAAATTACTAAGTGTTACATTGGGGGGAAAGTGCTTTCTGCTTTATATAAAGTTTTTATCAAGGGTTGAAGAGAATCCTTCTTCTAACTTACTGTAAATATGTGTAAGTGTTCCCAAAAATGAATAATGTCCATTTATAAAATGATTCACATATTTGATAGACTTTTGAAATTTTATTTCAGGAAACAGTTGAAAAACTTATTCAAGTTGATATTGCAGAGAATGCTTTAGTAAGTAGCTTTCTGAATGCTAATGTGCTTCAGTTCCATAATACAGGAAAGCAAAAGAGGTGAGCTTCTGACATTGTTTTTCTTCTAACCCAACACTAGAAAAACGCTGTAGAATCTGAGATCCCTACAATCAGTGTTGTGGCTGATGAGGAATTCCTTCCTTTCAAAGAAGATACATTTGATCTTGTTGTTAGCAGCCTAAGGTATGCATTAGTCATTTATTTACGTTTTATTTTTTGGTTAAAGGTGTTAAATAATGTTCTTTTCAGAGTAACTTCAAGAAAAAAAAAAGGAAGATTATTAGTCCATTAAACAGCGATAAGAAATGTATTTCCATAGTTAATAGGACTCTAGATTTGGAAAAACTGCTGTCCTGGTGGTTTTTACTGTTTTGTTTGTTTTTCCTTCAAAACACGTGTAGCTTCTCTCTTTCTTGCATTTTGACAAACTAGTCCCCAGGGCTTGCATCTTATCAACTTTAAAAAAAACAAAACAACAGCAAGAAACCTAACAAACAGACAAACGAAACCCCCTATTTGTAACGTTTTTACTTAGTATTGCTTTTAGTCGGGCATTTCAGAACTTTTGCAGCTTCAGAAACTAGTGCTTTGGCTTCTGAAATATACTTAGATAATGTAACAATTACTTGCATTCATTAAATTTTATTTAGTATGTAGCTGTAAAATTTATACTTTGTTATTTCAGTTTACATTGGGTGAATGACCTTCCTAGAGCTTTTAGAGAGGTAAGAACCTGGTTTTTAATACTAAAAATCAACACTTGTTGTTACTTGCATTCAGAGCACTCTGTATTTCCATATGTTCTTTAAATAAAAGGCCCAGAAACAGCTCATGTTGTACATGAGCGGGTTTTTTTCAGTATTTTTGGCAGTTTGAGGAGCATCAGTTGTTATTTCTGCTAATTTACTGTCTCAAATCAGTTTGGAATAAATAACTGTGAAGCAACATGTTTGTGTAATATTTTGTAGTCTCAACAGCTGAGATCATGATAACTAATGTAAACTGAGGCGACGCTATTGGGTTTTTTTATGTGTTATTGTAGTACAAGATTTTAAAAAATCTAACTTCTCCAGAACTGGTTTATGGAACCTGTGTTACTTCTATGTCTCAGCTATTTATTTTTAAATATGACTTTTATCAGGTAAAAGCTTTTTTGATTTTGAAATGAAGCAAATGCTTATTGAGGACAGAAAATTGGAACTTACTGAACAAAACCTGATTTTGGATTACTCCAGCTCCTTCCTGCAGGTGAAAACTTTTTATAATCAGCTAACTTCGGAGCAAGAGCAGGAAATATTTTAACCAGTTTGCTGCTTTTTCGTTTATTTCACGTTGGCCAGTCATTACAGTGCTATTCTGTCACCCATTGGTATGAATAGGAGTAACCTGCTGTTATAGTAATAATAAAAATAGAAATCAGAAGGCCTTCAGTACTTCAAAAACAAAAAAAGTCTTGGAAAGAAATAGATCATTTTCTCTGGAATTCAAGTGTTCTATGGAGTGTCAAATTTTTTTACCCCCACATAAAATTGACTGACACATTATAATGTCCCACAAAGGGGAGGGAACTGGGATTCTTGTCTCACTTGCATCATGAGTGCTTATTTCCTATGTTGGGACCATTGGCTTTAGCTGATGGAAACTGCCTTCAACTGCTTAAATTTCTCATATGTCAATTAAAGGCTTCTTTACTAGCATAGAAGAGGTAGCTTGATTAATACATAATTAAAAACCAGTTTAAAAGATCTTTGTTTGAATTGAGTAAGGTAAACTGTTTGAGACTTTTGCTGCCTTGTTAGTTGTTGTTAAGATGGCTCTTCCAGATATCTAAACTGGGGATCATTGCCAATTCTTGAGGAAGAAAGAAAGCATGAATTTAGTGACTATCGCAGTAGGAAGGGGGCTAGGACTTAGAAGACAAGAAAGCAGCTTGTCAACCTTGGCGTTTGAGCTATAGTATTGCTATTCTGGCAACTTAAAAATAAGTAGGGATAGGCATAATGTGAATTGCATTACTCTGTTGTGTGTCTACAAGTGCAAAGATCACTGCTGGAAACTAAGGCCTCCATTTCTCTTAAATCAAGCCATTAAAAAGTATTTTTGTAGCCCTCATCTGAGGAAGTAAAAGTAAGCAGAAGCTACTCAATCTACCTTATTTTCAGAAGTAAATTAATTGAGGATATTATTTTAGGAATATCCCACTGAAAACAGTTTTACCCTAGATTTCCACAGTGCATTTTGCGTTTCTTGACGGTAAGTGTAATTTCTGGTGATTCACTCTTTCTTAAGAACAACTAGTCTCTTTTCAGACAGATTATTTATCTTGCAGTGTTTTAAGTTAATTGAAAAAAAAAGTCCTAGAACTTCTTAGTTAAATGGGCTTATTAATAACAACATTAATTTTTTTTTCTGTGTTGTAGATTCACCAAGTTCTTAAGCCAGATGGAGTATTCATTGGTGCAATGTTTGGGGGAGACACTCTGTATGAGCTTCGCTGCTCTTTGCAGCTAGCAGAATTGGAAAGAGAAGGGGGATTTTCTCCTCATGTATCACCATTCACTGCTGTCTCTGACTTGGGACATCTGTTGTCAAGAGCTGGCTTTAACACCCTGACTGTGGTAATTATGAATAAGAGAACAATCCAGAACCATCAGCTGGTATATAAAAAAATACTGGTTACTCATGTATTAGTAATGTACTGCTTTCTTCTGCATGTGATGCATCTTGCTGAATAAGTTTCTGAAACAGCCTGGACTGCCTCTGTTCTCGGCTTCACTGTGATTAATGAAACCAACTTAATGAAGTGTATCTTTGGCTACTGGCCCGGTTGAATTTGGATGGTCTTCTTGGAGAAATGTCAGCAAATGTTAGACCTGCTTGAAAAACCTTTAGACACTCTTGCTATTTCTTCTAAAACCAAGAAGACAATAATGGCATCTCAATGAAAATTTGGTTGTATTTGGGCTACTAACCAAAACTTTTTAGAAGTATTGTTCTTAGAAATGTGCAGTTTGAACAGATGTGGCAGATGAATAGTCCGTGAGCAACTCTCGAGACTGAATAATGCTACCGTTTTAGCTTGATATGCTCTAAAACTAAGCTTCCCAATTCTTTTAGGATACTGACGAAATTCAAGTCAACTACCCAGGGTTGTTTGAGGTTATGGAAGACTTGCAAGGCAAGTATATATTTCATATTAGTTTTCTATGTTAGTGATGCAGACACAGAAGAGTTTCACTGTGTATTTCTTAACTCCAAATCATAGAATTGTAGAACAGTTTGGGTTGGAAGGAACCTTTAAAGCCCGTCTAGTCCAATCCGCTGCAATGAGCAGGGACACCTTTAGCTGGATCAGATTGCTCAGAGCCCCATCCAACCCCATCTTGAATGTTTCCAGGGATGAGGCTTTTACCACCTCTCTGGGCAGCCTATGCTGGTGTTTCACCACATTTATCGTAAAATACTTCTTCCTTAAAAAAAAATAAGTAAGGCTTGTTGCAACAGTGGAAGCATTACTTTTTTCCTGATCTCTAGTGAGTTAGGGAATTATGCCTGTCAGCAGCTTTGTGTTGGGAAGCAGAAGTCAAAGATTTGCTACTTTGTGGTCTGCTATGAATTTTCTGCTTCCCTTGTATTCCCATTCTTTATGAGCCTGCTCAGTGTAAGCTGCTGAAAAGCCCTAAAGGGGAGTCAGAAGCATGTATCCCACACACTAGTTTTTCCTGTGAACCTCCATAATTATCGAGACATTCAGGAAACTGCTTTGAAAATAAATAGACCCTGCTGAGGAATGCAAAACACAGTTGAAATGCTTAACAATTGAGTTAGTCTCCTGATTGCATTTGTCATGGATTGTGAAGTGGTCATTCCTGTGCAGTCGCTTGTTACTTACAGAGCGATTTGGGGCATCTTCTTGCTGTGGATCAGCTGCTGCGGTTTAGAGTAATTCCTTACTGAAAATAAAACTCTCGTTCTCTGCAGAAACATTCAGATGCAGTAAGTGATTAAAGAGACTAGAATTGTGGTTATTTTATTTCTTATTAAAAATCTCATGGGATAGTAATCTCATGGTTATAAATAGTAATCTAATAATGCTTATCTGTTAAAAAACCCAAACGTTTGAGTGGTGTGTCAGAATAAACACTTTGTACTCGTGCTTAAAATATACTAGAAAACCTAAATGTTTGAGGACTCAAGATGAAGGAGTAATAATTTGAAATCATTCCTAGCAATGCAAACTGTAAATTGCGAAGCATTGGTTTTAAAAGGCTTGGATTCTTACAGGCAAGAAACTCACCTAATTATTTGCGGTACGTTGTTCTCTCTTACAGTGAGATTCAAAGGATTCTATACTTGTGGTTTAGTAAAAATCTGTCATTAGTGCATGGCACTTAACTCATGCCGTATGCTGTATCTTCTTTTCCTTAAAGCTGAAACATATTTTTAGGTATGGGGGAGAGTAATTGCTCTTGGAATAGAAAACCTCTGCTACACAGGGAGACAATGTTGGCAGCTGCTGCAATATACCAAGGTAAGTATTTGAGAGGTAATGAGTTAATCTGAAATGACTTTAAGAACATATTTTCCATATCTTTTTCTCTGACCTCTGTGTAAAAAAAACCCCAAACAAACCAAAACAAAAAAACCCCACATTTCTGAATAGAACAAAATACCGTTATCGTACAGATATTTTTAACCTTAATTACAATGACAGGATTTGAACTATGTTGATGCAGCAGTGTGAGATATTTTTATTGTCCCAAATCTTTCACCAAGAGTCATTATGATGAATCTGTCATACTTGGTTCTAGTGTTCTTAGAACTCAGTATTTCTTAGAACTGACATTCCGTGTACCTCTCTTGGCCCCCCCCCCCCCCCT